AAAAAAAAAAAAAAAAAAAAAAAAAAAAAAAAGAAGATACGGAGAGCCCCTCAGGCAGTGGCCCCAAGTGTCTGAGTGTATTAAGAAACACCAGAGAGGCAGTTTCAAACACAGATCCCTAGGTTCACACCCAGAGACCCAGAGTTAGCAAATTTGGGGTCCAGCCTGGAAACTACATTATTACCAAGTGCTCTGGGTGATTCTAAGGCAAAAAGTCTTCATGAAACATACTGGAAAAATCCTAGCTGTGAACAGGAGTTGTCATAAAATCCAGCTTTGCTTTCCATAGTACCTGGGCACCTGTTAAATTTTATAATAGACACTTGGAGTAAAATGCTTACACAACAATGTTACTAACTGATTGATTTTTTTTTTGACCCACAGCTTGTTATTTTGAATTATTTTGTTTCTTTTTACTATTGTAAATTAATTTTACACAAGGATTTGGACACTCCAGGGAAAGCGTCTTCAGAGTGTATAAAAGACGACCGACCTCTGAGAGAAAACGTGCTAGGCATCTCCTTATCGCACTTCCAAAATTTCCTCATTCTGGTACTGAATGGCTCTTAGGATCAGTATCTGTGATAAGTTTCCCAAAAACTCAGGGGCTTTATATTCCAAAATTCTCTAATTAAAGCTGGAGTTTGAAACGGCTCAGGAGGGGTATGTATGCTCTCAGACCGAAGGTTCCCATGATTTAAAATGCACGGTCCCTGTGGTGTTTCTACTGTACTGAGAGGAACACTCACCACACATTAGAGGGGAGTGAGCTGCAGAATAAGCCACTGCTGTGAGAACACAGCTGGGCTTCCTTCCACTCAAGAAATACTTTTTGAGCACCTGCTATGTGGCAGGCACTATATATAGGTATCTGTTGGCTTTGAAAAACCACTACCAATTATTTTTTCTATATATTATTTCTGTATATTTCTATAATAATATATATTCTATTATTTTTTCTATAATAAAAAAAGATAAAAAAGCAATACTATACGATATAATCTATGGTCTTTCACACACATATAGGTATTATTATTGTCACTGGCAAAGATTCCACTAGAAAACTGTGAGTTTGTATTCAAAGTGAAAAAGATGTAGGTAGAATGCTGGAGCCGCATGAGGGTACTTCCAATACCTGCTCCAGGATTTAATGCACTAGCTCCTCAGAGAGTGTGAATCTGCCAGACACACAATTAGGGCCCGTTTGTTACTAGCTGATTAATCAAGTGTGTGGAAAATGACTGATTCACCCATCTGTCACCGAGAATTTCCACCCCTGTCCTCCTGGACTCTCTGTCACCCTATAAACTAAGTTGTTTTATTTCCTCTGAAACCCTTTGAGGTCCAACTGAAAACTTTTCTGGGCACGTAAAAGAAAGCTTTTGGGGAAGCACCGATGGCTCAAAGGAGTAGGGTGCTGGCCCCATATAATGGAGGTGGCGGGTTCAAACCCAGCCCCAGCCAAAAACTGCAAAAAAAAAAAAAAAAAGACAGAAAGCATTTGGAAGCACTTCTGTTTGTGTTCTAAGAAAAAAAAGAAATCATTTTTACATGAAAGCATTTCACAAGTAAATGTCACTTTTGCTTCCTGGATTTGTTTTATTTAAAGATCAACTTTATGAGGACTTTAGGTACACTCAGAATCCCATCAGAATCTGAGAAGACTCACAAAAGCCTTACTCAGATACCTAAAATTTAAGAAAGGTGAGAAAAATAGTAGTTTAAGGAAAATGTTAGCTATCTACTTAAAGACTGTCATTCTACAAGCATATTTGTTTAGTTTCATCAGTCTCTGGAAATTTCACCCCCTAAAAAGGAGTCACTGCTGCCACAGCCTACACAGTGTGTCTCACCCTCCCTGGCTGCTTATGCAGGAGAGCTCCGGATCACACCTAATTTTTAATATATATTTTCTTTCCTAGAGAAAGCCAAGTTCCTTTAAGCTAATACACATTTGAGGGTGACAGGATAATTTTCTTCCTACAAAATACAAAAAAGTAACTTAAGGATACCACTAAACTCTTAGATAAGATAAAAAAAAAATTAAACTAAATTCACATACTTATTTTTCTTTCCTAAATGTCTATTCACTTTCTACATAGCAAAAAATAGTCTATCAAATGCTACCGAAATTATTATCCTACTCAACTACTGTCAGATTAACCTCCTACCTTTTTCCCCACCAAGCCCCACTTACCAAATCTTTCACCTACCTGCAAGGCTGCAAACATCATCACCTCTTCCTCTGTGCATTCGATCTCTTCTAGAAGAATAGCCCACTTGGCCTGCTCATACAGCTGGTTGATTCTGATCGCATCATACTGAAGGGAAACAAACATTGCTTTTGTAATACGTCACCTTTAATACTGAAAAATTCAAAGCTAAATATTTACTTTTGGGGGGGATTTTTATTTACCATCAAATATTCAATTACAAGAAAGATACCTATAGGATTGGATATACCAGTATATAAAGCCTCATCTAATTTCCATTGAAAATGACATTAAAATAGGAGCGAGGATAACGGATTTTTCAATACTAAAAACAGACTTTGTATGTTATTTTCCAGGTTAATTAACCACTAGATACCACAGCCTTTAAGAAATCTAACTTGATGACTTTAAGTAAGGTAGAATTACTGACTCCTTCTCAGTAGTGTTATTGCAATTTGCCCCATTAAATTATAATTGGAAAGTAAATTAATTATTTGGGGGAACATCTTGTTCTCTGAGAAGATTACTCAGATATTAAGTGGCAGGTCCTTGGAAACAGTATCCAAAACAGAGGGTACATCTATACTTACGGAAAATACATTTACTTATATGTTATTGAATTATCCATTTAATTATATTAATAAAAAGCAATGGTAATATCTTAATAATACAGGTTGAGTATCCCTTTCCTGAACCTACTTTGGACATTTGTTTTGGATTTAGAATATTTATAGATTTTTGAATATCTACAATACACCAACTGAGCATCCCTAATCCAAAAATCCAAAATGACCATTTCCTCTGAACTCATGTTGGGACTCAAAAGTTTCAGGTTCACGAGTATTCTGTAATTTCAGAGTGGGGATGGTCAATCTGTATCTTAGAATGTTAAGGAAATGCATCTCCCTTCCCCTCCCAAATGTAATTATTCCAAAATAGCTTTAGTTTTACTAAAAGATATAATATGGCCTGAAAATGAATTAAAATGACTTTTTATAGTTCTGTTACATACATTTTACTGTTGTATAAAGAATAAGCACATGATATAAGATGATAAAGATGAAATTTAAAATCCGGACATGAAAAGGATGAGAGTGTAACCAAGAGAGACTGTTCCCAGGTTGCCAGAGAAGAACAAGATCCAGAGCTGAGTGCCAGGCGTTTTCTGGGGAAAGAATACCCAGATCTTGATTGCAAAGTTAAATCTTACCAGAAAAGCAAAGTGCCACAGGAGTGCAGATGATATCAATTATAATAAAAACAGATAATATCTGTTAGATAAAAAGGTAGATCTTTAAAAGAAATTTCTGAAGCAAAGTCTTTTGGCTCATAATCAGTAATATAAAATAACTGAAAAGGTAATCTTTCTGAAACTTTTACTTAAAATATAACTGAAAAGAGGTATTAAATTTAAAAAAAACCTAACATTATCAGTTTTGTGGTATCAAAATAGAACCTTTAAAATACAAATCAACCAGAAATATAATTACCTTGACAAAAAGGAGAAAGGTTTAGTTAGGCTTTCAATCTACTAAAACAATAGGCTTACTTAAAATACAAATGTCTCTGCCTAATGGTTTGGGTTTTAATTTTTTAAACTTTTTTTAGAGACAGGGTCTCCCTCGGTTGTCTAGGCTGAAACACAGTGGTGTGATCACAGCTCACTGCAGCCTTGAACTTCTGGGCTCCGGTGATCCTCCCACATCAGCCCTTGAGCTGCTGAGTCTATAGGCATGTGCCACCAGGTCCAGCTTTTTTAAAAAATTATTATAATTTTTTTTTTTTTTTGTAGAGACACTTTGTTCCAAAATGATGGCCTGAAGTGATCCAGTCTCAGTCTCACTTTGCCTTCCCAAAGTGCTGAGATCACAAGCAGGAGCCACACTATACCTGGCCTGGGTTTTTAATATTAGTCAAGACTTGCCATATATAAACAATTCCTTACCCTACCAACTTCCAAAAAACTGACATCCAAATGAATGAAATAAACATAAAGAGATCCCTTTGAACCCTCGGTACCTTTGGATTCAAATCAAAAAAGCTGTAGTACTTGAATCGGAGCAGCAAGGCCTCATTCTCCTTCACATCTTGTTCCATGAGAGATCTTGAAGAATCAAGCCATCTGGACAAATTACGAGAAACAAGGCAAGACAGAATTGATAACACGTCTATCTCTAATTACATAAAGAAATTCAGTTGTTTCTATATCTTAAAAACCTACCCTTGGTTGATTTTTGCTTTATCAAGAAGAGCTTGAGGCTTGAACATTTTTGCCAGGATTTCTGGTGAAGTGACGGGCTGACTGACAGCGAGCACACCAGGATTGCCTTCTGACAGCGCGCTGTCACCGAACCAGGCAGAAGTCGGGGACAAGGGGCTTCCATCATGAGCATCGTAAGTGGGGGTCATTGTTTTACTATAAAGTCCTGGGCTTGAATATATACTTCCTAATAAGTAACGTGAAAAACAGAAAGTGAGTGTGAAGTACAGAACCTCAGTTTCCAGCAATAGCGTGCGCTGATACAAAGCATTGTGAAACAGTTTCATCCTGAAAGGAAGCTTAGTGTGTTTTATTTTACCTGCTTTGAAAACGTGAAATTAACTCCACTTACGTAAGATTAAAACATATAACAAAGCTTTAAGGCTATAATTAATTTGGCAGAAATTCTGAGAAAAAAAATGAGTTCTAGAGAATTAGGAAGTGAGTACACAGCTGAAGCAGACAAATGCGTTTTGTGTGTGAACTGCGGTGAGGCTCACCTTTCAGAGGGCCAATGAAAAGAACATCAGTGCCTGCAGGGAAGGAGAGAAAGGAGTTCAGAAGGTCAAGGGAAGGCAACGAGGAGAGGACAGAAACAAGGATGAAACGGAAAAAGAAACGGGAAAGGACAGGTGGATCTTTCCTAATTGAGCACCGTAAACTGAAGTGCACACTTCAAGGAGATTTCAGAGTAAAGAACCTTGGAAACTACAACCTAAGAAAAATAAATTTCTCGTCCAGTTCAAAAGAACAAAGCTGCCTTCAGCCAAGCAAATAATGGCAGACATTAGTAGAACGGTTACCACCATTTCAAATCCATACTCTGTTTTTAAGATAACTCAAATGTATTTGAGTAAATTCACATAAATTAAGAGAATTTTATGTTAATGTTTTCTTAATGAATTGCTGGTTTCAACAAACTTATAAAGTATTAATGCTAAAAGGTAGATAAAATCTGTCCTAGAAAATGACTAAAATATATTTTATAATTAAACTCCTGAAAATCAGGATTTTGTCTTATCTTCCAGTTCCTCAGTTGGTAGGGCTAGGCATATGGTAGAGGCTAGATAAATAAACATTTGTTATATGAGTCATCTGATGGTATGTCCTCCTTCATGAAGTTACAAAAATTAGGCTGGGCTTGGTGGTTCACGCCTATAATCCTAGCACTTAAAAAAAAAAAAATTAGAAAAACCAGCCAGGTGTGGTGGCACATGCCTATAATCCCTGCTCCTTAGGAGAGTGAGGCAGGGGATCAAGTGAACCCAG